GAAGGAGCCCGAGGTGTGAGAGAGAGATACACAGACAGAGATATGTTTTTATCTGAAAGATCCAACAGTTACAAACTCAAGCAGAAATAAATAACAATCTAGTTTTACAACATTATCATAAACCATGGGGCGATTATCCAGTTCAGCCTCCACCAAACCTCACTGCAGTTTAGCACAGATCTACTAAAAAGTTCTTCAGCTGCTCAAAATTAACGTGTCGCAGGGAAAAAAAATTAGCGACTGTAACGTCAGTCCATGGCCGACATTTCGTCTTTCTTCTTCTACCAACATTAAATACTTTACCCTGATTTTCTTCGACATATATATATTTCTTATACACTTACCGGCCACTTTATTAGGTACACCATGCTAGTAACAGGTTGGACCCCCTTTTGCCTTCAGAACTGCCTCAATTCTTCGTGGCATAGATTCAACAAGGTGCTGGAAGCATTCCTCAGAGAGCTTGGTCCATATTGACATGATGGCATCACACAGTTGCCGCAGATTTGTCGGCTGCACATCCATGATGCGAATCTCCCGTTCCACCACATCCCAAAGATGCTCTATTGGATTGAGATCTGGTGACTGTGGAGGCCATTTGAGTACAGTGAACTCATTGTCATGTTCAAGAAACCAGTCTGAGATGATTCCAGCTTTATGACATGGCCCATTATCCTGCTGAAAGTAGCCATCAGAAGTTGGGTACATTGTGGTCATAAAGGGATGGACATGGTCAGCAACAATACTCAGGTAGGCTGTGGCGTTGCAACGATGCTCAATTGGTACCAAGGGGCCCAAAGAGTGCCAAGAAAATATTCCCCACACCATGACACCACCACCACCAGCCTGAACCGTTGATACAAGGCAGGATGGATCCATGCTTTCATGTTGTTGACGCCAAATTCTGACCCTACCATCCGAATGTCGCAGCAGAAATCGAGACTCATCAGACCAGGCAACGTTTTTCCAATCTTCTATTGTCCAATTTCGATGAGCTTGTGCAAATTGTAGCCTCAGTTTCCTGTTCTTAGCTGAAAGGAGTGGCACCCGGCGTGGTCTTCTGCTGCTGTAGCCCATCTGCCTCAAAGTTCGACGTACTGTGCGTTCAGAGAATGCTCTTCTGCCTACCTTGGTTGTAACGGGTGGTTATTTGAGTCACTGTTGCCTTTCTATCAGCTCGAACCAGTCTGGCCATTCTCCTCTGACCTCTGGCATCAACAAGGCATTTCCGCCCACAGAACTGCTGCTCACTGGATATTTTTTCTTTTTCGGACCATTCTCTGTAAACCCTAGAGATGGTTGTGCGTGAAAATCCCAGTAGATCAGCAGTTTCTGAAATACTCAGACCAGCCCTTCTGGCACCAACAACCATGCCACGTTCAAAGTCACTCAAATCACCTTTCTTCCCCATAATGATGCTCGGTTTGTACTGCAGGAGATTGTCTTGACCATGTCTACATGCCTAAATGCACTAAGTTGCCGCCATGTGATTGGCTGATTAGAAATTAAGTGTTAACGAGCAGTTGGACAGGTGTACCTAATAAAGTGGCCGGTGAGTGTATATATCTATGCATACTGCAGCTACAGCGGAGAAGAGTGAACAGGTGAACTCCTGAACTTAGAGGAAGTTGGGGAGTCGGGATAACGACCGAAGGTTACCCTACTGCTATAAAAGCTTTTAATCGTGGGTTCGATCCTGGTTCAGGGTTAGTCTGTATTTGACAGACAGTCTGAGGGAGTAAAGACGAGCTCCAGGTCCTGCTCAGATCCAGAATCAGGACCACAGTCCCTTCATTAGGGGGTCCTAACAAGGTGGACTAGACCCACAGTTGCTGCCTCCTCTGTCTGACCCGGATGTTGATGGTCCTGCTCAGTGACCTCTGACCCTCACAGGAAGACGTCTCTGTCTATTGTCAGTCTGCTGTGACCTCTGACCCCTGACCTCCTCTGTGGGTCTACAGCAGACTCAGGTTCTGATTTATCTCCTGTCTCCACAAAGAACATTTGTTCCCCCGGCGGCGTGTTTACTGTGTTTACTGGATCTCTGGCGTGCCACAGAGAGCCGTGCTGATTGGTCGACAGACTTTATCACAAACACCTGCTGTGGTCTAGTCCGAACCAGCAGGATTCTGGGTCTATTTTAGTCCTCTGTACATCCAGAGAGGGTCACATCAGACCAGATATTCATCTGTTTGTGTTACTAGATGTTCACAGATCCTACAGGGACATTTGTAATCCTCACAGTATCGACCAATCAGGAGTCAGCAGGCTTTAGTGTCACTATGGAGAGCAAAAGGAGGAGGAGCTAAGTCCTCACCAGTTTAACTTTGACTCATTTTTTTAGCAAAGAGACTAAACACAACTCACCTACTCTCTTCCAGCAGACGCTTGTTTGTAGAGAGACCTCAGGCCAGTCCATTACAGACTACAGCAGGGTGACACAGCTCAAGGAAGAACATTTATGATCATTTCTTTATCATTTCCTTGAAGTAATAATCACCATATTAATCATTTTACAGACGCTGTAGTTCTTCTGTCTCAGCATCTCGGTCTGATTGTATTTCCATGAAGAAATGATCAGTAACAGAACCTCATTGAAAAATTAGCTGATTTAACTTTACTGTGCTCTTGTTCAAATATATTAACTCGACAGCACATAAATCCATACCTGTTAACAAAATCATGATTTTATTGATAATTCGGCTCAATAAAAACACCTTTACCTTTTCATTTTAACTACAGTAGAAGTTTCTTGACCAGCTTATAGACGACAGAAGTGAAGAAACACCCCCGCTTAAGTTTGTTTTCTTAGAAGTTAGAACAACTCTGAATCTAGTGCTATGTCTGTGACCCTATATGTCCTGTTGATGAAGTTAGGTGCTGTTCTGAGCATTATTTGTGGCTATAGAGTGGCGTTTTGGTTGGGGGCGTGGCTCTCTGTATTTCTATCCTGCGGTCGTTACTAAAGTTGGTATAACTAGAGAAGCAAGCGGTCGACAACATTCATCTCTGGAGGGGGGGTCTAACTCGGTGTTACGGTGTGTTTGACTCTAACTTTTATCCCTTTAACCTCCCTGGATTCAGTCTCTGCTGAAAAACGTTCCTCTGAAGATTTGACTGTGAGGAGGACAAGAGACAGACGCTGATAATTAAAACTCCTGAGAAGCTCCACTGACATCCGTCCGTCCGTCCGTCTCTCTGTCCGTCTGTTTGTCTTCTCACAGTTTTCGTCCAGCATCGACAGAGCTGAGGATCTTCAGGTCTCAGCAGACACCCACAGACAGACGGACATGGAGCTCCTCTATGAGTCCATGAGGAGAGGTAAGCAGAGCTCAGACCGGTCTGGAGAGTTCTGGTGAGTTCTTCTTTCAGATCCTCCTGAACCTCCTTCTACAGGATCAAACCCAGTTTCTGTTTCTGTGTCTGATAGTCGTCTTTTTCTCTGATTTCAGACCTTCTGGGAAAGTCTCTGCAGGTTCTCACCAGCAGCAGCCTTCTGCTGCAGAAGCTCCGACAGCTGCAGAGGACTGAGGCCCTCCAGAGGAGAGGGGGAGTACTGCAGGGTGAGGGGGAGGATGGACAGGAGACGCAGGAGGAGAAGGTGAGATCGGTTTTCTCACAGACAGAGACAGAGACAGAGACAGAGTGTGTTTTTATTCGTCTGTCTTCTCTGCAGGGTTCTCAGCTCAGCAGGGGGGCGGCGCTGAGGCTGGAGGAGCTGGTGGAGACGCTGCAGGACCGCAGGAGGAGGGCGGACCAGTCCATCAGGCAGCAGCTACAACAGGCCAAGAACCTCACCACCAACACCACGGTCCATGAAGAAGAACCCGAGGAGTCCAAGGAGACCAGCTTCGAGGTGAGAGAGGAGGACACTGTTAGACCAGGTCCAGATTTAATGTTTTAGGACCACCGTGGACCCAGAACCAGGAGAGCGGGAGCAGACAGGAAGTCTCTCTACCGGGTCAGACGGGTTCAGGTTCTTTTACTGTTTTAGGACTTATTGGAGATCTGACCCTGAAGACATCACACACCAAAACCTGTCCACTTTAAAACCCAGGTCCCTGAGTCCGTGTCCCTGAGTCCGTGTCCCTGAGTCCACATCCCTGACAGTCTTGGATTAGATGGGAGGACTCGAACCTCAGCGGTGACTCACCGGTCTGTCCCGTCCCGTCTTGGGTTCAGGATATAAATACTAGACCTGCTCACAGCGAAGTTCCCGACCCCATGAGGACTGGATTTAAAAATATTCTGCCGGGCTCTGAGGACCCCGAAATAAACCAGCTGATCCACGTGTCCCACAAACCTTTAAACAGGGTAAAACCAAATCCAGGAAACCTCCAAGACCCTCTGATAGGGGAGACCGGGGCTTGTTGTCACATTGCAGTTATCTTCTCCACCAGAGGGCGCCACTAAAAATCCAAACTGTAGAACGCTGTAGGATGGTAAGGGAAGGTCCCACCCTCCTTCGCTTTTGATTGGCTATAAGTGCTGACCGTTTGGCATGAGATGACGTTTCCAGCTTTTCTAGCCAATCAGAGGCGAGGATGCAGGACTTTCCCCAGGATGTGTCTTTTTCCCCCGAAAGTCGCAAAACCGCATCGGGCTTGATGTGTATATGTATATATATAGTATACATATATATATATATATATGTATATAGATGTATCTATATACATATATATATATATATGTATATAGATACATCTATATACATATATATATATATGTATATATATAGTATACATATATATATATATGTATATACTGTAGATGTATCTATACCCGCTTCGGCCCGGGGAGTGAGGAGCTTTAAGTTTAAATGTTTTTTTTTCTTGTTTTTTTATATTTTTGTTTTTAATTTTCAAAATAAACTAAAACTAAAACTAAAACCCTCTTTACTCCAGGACCTGACCATCCTCGAGATCCCAGACCAGGACCAGCTGTCTGAACCAGAACCAGACCTGAGGCCCGGCTCCACAAGAGAAGCCAGAGGACTGAAGTCTGGACCCACACCCAGACCCAAGCACACCACAGACCAGGAGCCCAGATCCAGTCCAGATCTGAGATCCAGATTAAAATATCTGCAGCCGGACTCTAGACCAGGTCTACAGTCCGGGTCCAGACCAGATCTGCCGTTTGGACATGGACTACAGAAAACCAAGATTCTGGACCCTGTGGAGACCCTGAACCCCCCAGAGGGGTCTAATCCAGACCTTCTGATCAAGTCCAGATTAGAGGAGACCAGAACCAATAATCCAGAACCAGGACCTGGATTAGTCCTGAAACCTGGATCAGACCCAGAGAAGACCAAAGATCTGACCAGACCAGGACCCCAGTCTGGATTCAAGTCCAATAGGCCTGAGTCCAGACCAGAAGAAGACAGGAACCTGAGGATTGAATCCACATCTGACCAGATCCCTGAATCCAGATCAGGATCCAGATTAGATGTAAAACCTGACTCTGGATTAAAGTCCATCAGAGACCTGGAGCCCGGATCCAGATTAAAGGAGATCCAGACTCTGAAGTTCGGGATCAAACTGAACCTGAGACCCAAATTAGAGACCAGAGACCCGGGTCCTGGAGCTGGGTCAGAGGTGGAGACCGGATCCAGACCAGTGAAGACCCCAGAACTGAGTCTAAATCTGAGACCCAAGTCCAGGGCAGACCTGAGGCCTGAAGAGACCACAGACCCATCACCTGGTCCCAGACCAGACCCCCAGTCCGAGTCCAGATCAGAGGAGCTGAACCACCTTCAGAACAAATCCAGATCTGAGCCAGAATCTAGACCAGGTCCTGGACCCACATCAGGTTGGAATAAGTCCAGACCAGGTCAAAAACCAGACCCTGAAACCAGAGACATTAGTCCTGAATCCAGATCAGAGGAGACCACAAACCTCAGATCTGATTCAGAACCAGAAGGAACCAGATCCTCTGATCCAGGATCCGGGTCAGGGACTCAGCCGGGACCAGGACCACAGGAAACCAGGGAACCTGAGGCAAGAACCAGAACCATTCCAGATCAAAAACCAGGATCCAAGTTGGATCCTGGATCAGAAGAAAACCAGGACCTCTCAGAGGAGCCTACAGAGACCCGTCCAGGTTTCGGTCTAGTCCTCAAACTGGAGGAGAACCTAGACCCTCAACCTAGATCTAGACCAGACCTGGAGATAGAGTCTAGGCTGAACATGACCAAGAATCTAGAGTCAGAATCTAGACCAGAACCTGAACCAGGACAGGAGAAGACCAGGACCCTGCAGACCGGATCAAGACCAGAGATGGACCAAGACCTTCAGTCTGGATCTGGATCAGAGGTGAGATCCTGGATTTAAGACTCATGGGTAAAAGAGGATCAGGACCGACCGACCGGTGCTGCTGGAAAATAATTAAAAAAATATATATATATTAATAAAAAATAATAAAATAAATAAAAATAATTACTGATAAAAGTAAATAAAGAAAAACAGAGAAAAATAAGAAAGAAAAAAAAGTATATTTATATATATATGCATTTACATAAATAAATATAAAGATACTTTTTGTTTTTTTGTCTCTTAAATTCCTTTTATTATTATTATTTTTATTTTAGTATTGTTTATTTTCCCTCTCCTGTTTTATCTTATTTTCAAATGTTTTCTGTTTTATAAAACTCCCCAAAACAAGAACTCACACACACACACACACACACACACACACACACACACACACACACACACACACACACACACACCTGGCTTCTCTAGGTACCCAGGTTCAGACAGGTCTATCTCAGTTCAATAGTCCTTCTGGAGCTCTTGTCTTCATCTTCTCTGGTCTCTAAGAGTCCTGCTGGTCTCTCTCTCTCTGTCTCTTTTTTCATGTTTTCCAGGATGAAGACCTCCATCATCTGACCGAGGTGAAGACCAAAGACCATCAAGTTGTTCCTGTGAAGTCCAGCAGGTGAGATATCTGAGTTTTTAGTGGTGGTTTCAGTATTTCCTCATTTACAGAGAGATAAACAGAGATCTCCATTCTGGTCTTCCTGTGTGTTAGTGTCCAGGTCGCAGAGAAGCAGAGCATGCTGGGACAGGAAAAGGAGCAGACTCTGACCAATCAGAGACAACAGCTGCTGTCGTCATGTGAACAGCTGGTGGATAAGGTGACGTCTTCTCCGTTGTTCTTTCAGTCTTTGTTCATAATCACAAATTAAAGCTCCTGATTCCTGTGGTTCTGGTTCAGATCTGGGTCTGGGTGCAGCGGGGCAGCAGTGATCTGTCCAACAGTTCTGAGGCGGGACAGCGTCTCTCCGAGGCCGAGGACAGTCTGAACACACACCTGCAGCTGCACCGCCAGGCCCAGGTAAACACACGGTTCTGACTCTGACCCATGATCCCTCCGAGCGCCGCTGTTCCAACATCTAAAAACCTTTAACCTGACCGTCTCCGCCTGTTTGTGATCAGCTGAGGAGTCCGGCGATCCGCAGAGGAACGGAAAGAATTCGGTGTAAATTGACACGTTAACTTGAATGGTTACGATCAGCTACGATCGGAGGATACGACCTTTTAGGAGACGATCAGGATGAAGGTGGAGGTCGGGGGGTGACCCTCAGTGAACTTGTTGGATCTCTTTGTTTCCAGTCTGCAGGTCACGACGCCGTTAACATGACCCAGATCCTGGATCAGATGAGGACTCTACAGACAGATTTATCCAGCAGAACCGGTCTCCGGTCTCCCTGTGAACCCAAACCTCAGCCGCCCCCTCTGAAGGTCCTGACGGAGCAGCTGAAGGAAGGAGCCGACACGGATCAGACCAGTCCACTTCCTGCTGACCCGGCCGGTCCCCTGAGTCCTGAACTGACGGACAGAGTGGACCTGGTTCTGAAGGAACTGCAGAGTCTGAGCAGACAGATCTCCTCACACCTTCAGCTGCTGGAGCCGTACGTCAGGTTCCTCAGAGTCGCTCAGAAGGTCAGTCCCTCCTCTGGAGTCCACCATGACCGTTACTCTCAGCCTTCTTAAGGGGACCGTGGAGGTCTCAACAAAAACCAGAGTCCACATGTAGACTGTGGGGGGAGTAAACGGCAGGTTCAAAGGTCAGGGTATCAGCTGTTCTTCTGTTCTTCAGGTGGAGGAGGAGCTGGAGCAGGTGATGGAGGTCCACAGAAGGAGGTCTGAGGAGGAGGAGACTCAGCGCTCCGTCTCAGGAGTGAAGAAGGAGCAGGAAACCCTGACCAAGTTTCTCACCTGTCAGGAACTGGGAAACGACTTTATCAGGACCGTGTCTGAGGTGATTGGACCGAACCAGGACCGGGGATCTGGATCAGGGTTTTTAGAGTGATACAGAAGGAATCTGGTTTTTGTTTGGGGTCAGATAAAGGTTTGGGTTTGTGTTCTTGTCAGGTGTCAGGACCGGGTCTAAACGTGGAGGCCATGGTGTCGCTGGTTCATCGGACTCTGGAGCAACTCAGCAGAACCAAACAGGAGCTGGTTCTGCACCACCAGGTCCAGATCCAGCAGCAGGAGCACAGCAGGACGTACCAGCAGAGGTTCCTCAAGGTACCTGATGGCGGTTTTGTCCCCGAACACGGTCAATAAACGATTGTTCATGACGGCGTTCATATTTCAGGTGAACGTGATCGGATCGTTCTTTATTTACGTTTGATTCGTAGAGACGAACTACAGACAAACGTTAGTGAGGACTGAACTAAACATCAGGGAGACACCGGTACTCTGAGGGCTGTCCTCTCTACTGTATACCTGCTCGGATTAGGAGATGAAGATAATCTGACGCAGTTTCAGATTAAAATCATCTGTCTGTGGTTCTTTATGAGCGCCGTAAAAATCTGGACAAATAAAAACTTACAGACAAAAAAAAAACTCAATTCATTTTTGGGAACCATGAAAATGTGGAATTATGAACTTTGAACTTTCCAAACTCTGCTTGATGGTCAGACCACCCAGAACCAGGACCGGACTGTAGAACTGTAGAACTGTAGTCCCTTTATAAAGGTCCTGAAGTGGACCATAAGAACCCGTCTGTTGTACTGAAGACCTCTTTGTGTCCTGCATGTATCCAGACTCTGCAGGACCTTAAAGGGGTCTCCGAGCTGCTGGACTCCTGCACTCAGATGGACCTTGGCTCAGACCTGCACACCACCAGGCTGCTGGACCACTTCAAACGGGCCAGACCACATTTCAAGGTGAGAGTCCGGACTCTGGGTCTGAGACGGTCTTTTAGACGGACCGTTTGGACCGTTTGGACCCTCTGATTGTAAAACCAACCTGAAGTCTGAGGGTTCTGCTCTTCTTCTTCTTCTTCTTCTTCTTCTTGTTTTACAGCAGCTGGACGCTGAGGTGGAGGATCTAGTCAAGACCCGGGAGACTCAAAGAGGGGTCCAGGTCCAGGAGGAGGATCTGTCAGCACTGCTGGAGCTCCAAGAGAGAGTGAAGACCAAGATCCATCAGAGCGAGTCCATCCTGGATCTGAGCAGCAGCTTCCACCTCGCCTCACAGCAGGTGGGTGGACTCTGTTTCCATGACCCACAGGAACCGGGGCCTCCCTGTTCCTAAGGGTCCGACTCTGTTTCATTGGGTTCACTTTGAAAACCTGAGGGTCACCTCCAGTCCAGGATGAGGATCTGCTCAGGGGTTCAAAAATATGGACTTTTCAGACTCACAGAAAGTTGAATTGAATGTTGTTTTGTGTCGGTCCAGTTGGAGGCGCTGCTCAAATCCGAACCACAGAGACCCTTAACTGGTCCAAAAGGTCTACATGGATCCAGTGAGGCTGAGGAGAGTCTGCAGAGAGAGAAACAGAACCAGATCCAGGGTCTGTTAAAAACCGCTTCAGCACTGAAGACCGACATCTGCACGGCTGTGGACCTCAGAGTATGTTCTGGTTCTGTTATTAGAGCGGACTCTTAGGTCCTGGACCCGACACTGACTCTGAGTCTGTCCTCTGTAGGGTGGGACCGGTTTCAGGGTGGACCAGCTGGAGGCCCGTCTTCTCTCTCTGGACTCGCTCTGTGTCTTGTGGCTGAAAGAAGCTCGACAACAAGAACAGAACCAGCAGCTGACCCGGCAGTTCAACAACGACATCAACCAGGTGAGGCCGGGAGAACCCAGCTGACCCTCAGAGCTGAGGGCCAGGGTCATGTGACCGCTCCTTTTTAAAGGTTTAGTGAAACCAGGTGACCCGCCGATAGGGCTGAGCGATATGGTAAAAAAATCAGCTGATATCGATCAATCAGCTGATATCGATCAATATCAGGATATAAAAATCTAACAGTGTTTATTGGTCTCATGTCTTTTCCAACACAATAATCTCCTGCATCTGTGAGGTCTTTGAGATGTTCCGCCTTCGCCTGTGGTCTATTTGGGATGTTGTTGTTCACCAGTATGACCAGCAGAGGGGGCTGCAGACATCCATCTCTATGACCAAATCTCAGCAGTCAGAGTCCGGTCTGCCAAATACTCACTTCCTGAATGACTTAAACTTTAGCGGATCAGTAAACTCTCTGTGGTAGTTTCTAAGCTCCGCCCCTTTCTTCTGGTCTGACGGCCCTACTCTGGACTGATGATGAACTCCTCCCTGCTCCTCCCTGCTCCTCACATCCGTCTGTTATTTCTGACAGACAGCTGTTGAAGCAGCACGGACTTAGATGGCACTGATCCGAGGCCGCCGCCCTCATTTTATCAGAGTCTAAATATAACCCGAGTCAGCAGGACAGATTTAGGTTTTATTGGAGTCCATAAAAACCTCGGAGCTTCGTCAGCCGGGGTCAGCCTGTGTGCTCTCTCCAAGAAAACCAGGTCAAAGTGAGCAGAATAAAAAAACCTCAGGTCTGTTTTTCGAGGATTTAGGTGAACAGGAAACTAAACTCAGCATCACTGATGATCTTTGTCAGATTCTGGGCCGGTCCGTTCTTCTGTAAGGAACAGAACAAGGTCCACTTCAGTTAGAATGAACCACAGTGAGTTCTGAGTTGGACCTGCAGCACCGATCATGTCCTGGACTAAAGTTCCTCCAGCTGAAGAGACCAAAGGATCAAACTGGGAACTTTACTGGTTAGACTGGGATCTGTGATTACACAGAGGAGCAGCTGCTGGGAGAGGAGTGTGTGTGTGTGTGTGTGTGTGTGTGTGTGTGTGTGTGAGAGATCAGCTGGACCGATCGACAGAAATACAGCCCGAGTCATTCAGTGGGTATTTCCCATCATGCACCTGGTGGTGTGTGTCATCATTACAGCGGCCTGCAGACATCAGACACTCTCTCTCTGCACATCTAGACTTCTGTCAGTCTGTGTGTCATGTGTGGTCTGTAGTATTCCCAATCTAAGACTCACAGATCTATGACATAGATCTATGTCATAGATCCTGAAAAATAAAAAGGTTGAACTCTTCGTCTTCTGAAGGACTCACCTTTATTTTTAGAAGAGGTCACACCTGTCCGAACGGTCCACAATAACAGGATAGACCTCACCATCTGGACTGTCATGCACTCACTGGCCTAAAGGGGGCAGCACTCCCCATGATGATCACAGATTTACTCTAGATGTAGTCATGTGACATAACAAACCAAAACCCTTTAAAAACCAGTTTAAAATTAATCAATCTGTGGTTATTTAAATGGTACATGAAGCGAAGAATGTTAGGAGAGGACGAGCTGCCTGAAGCAAGATGGCCGCTATGCACAGACGTTGGTCTCCATTGGCGAACAGCGTGAGTAAGCCATCTAGTGTTTATATATATATACATATATATATATATATATATATACGTATATATATATATATATATATATATATATATATATATATATATATGTATATATATATATGTATATATATATATATATATATATATATATATATATATATATATATATATATATATATATATATATATATATATATATATATATATATATATATATATATATATATATATATATATATGTATATGACTGAAACGCTGGAACTGATGGATCGGTCTGGGATTGGTTATCTCGGTTAGTCCATCAGTCAATCAGAGTTTCTCGAACTACAGCGAGCCAAGAAGTTTGTAATCATAAAAAAATAAATACAGAGAAAAATAAGTGTGAGAAATGTCAAGAGTGGCGTGAGAGAACGGGTCAAATTGCGTGAGTGTCGCACTCAAGGCGTGACGTTTGTCAGCTCTGGTATGGTTAATACTCCAGAGTGTTTTAGATGAAGGATCGTGAAGACCGTGTGTCAGATCCCTGGACTGGTCCTCAGTTGTTTTTCAGAGTCCCCGTTCATCAGATCCTGCTGAACATTTCACAGCTGGATTAACTGTCCCTTCATCGAGGGGGACTTCTGTAATCAGACTCCACCTCCGAGTCCGCCGCCATGACCACTCAGGCCAAAGGATTCGGGTCTGAGCTCGAGGGAAGGTGAGGTATGACTGTGACCCCCCAGACTTGTTTGTGGTCTTCCTGCTGAGTCACAGTGACCTGAAGATGATCCGGTTCTAGTCCTCCTGGTCCAGAGAACCGGCTGATGGTCGGTTATTCTGATCCCAGATCTCAGTTAGCAGTCCCTCAAAGACGAAGTTATTCAGTCAATTCACACCAATTTACGACACACACACACACACACACAAACACACACACACACACACACACACACACACACGCACACACGCTGACAAACCTCCGAGGTCATGTTTACTGTGTTTTTAATGTCACTGGGAGGTGGACCAGAACTGAGCGTGAGCTCGGACACAGTCAGTGTTGACTTAGATACTTTGGCGTCTCTGTCGTCCGTCCTGGACTGATGCACCACGTCATTATCTGGAATAATGGAAGAGAGTCCAGAGACCAGGGTCCTTGAACCAAAGCCACAAACTCTGTGGGTCTGTATGAAAATCTAAAGCTCACGTGGCTCATGGTCCTCTGGGATACGCCTCAGTTTGAGTTTTTAACTCTCTTTTGTCTTCTGGAGAACCAGAACTTTTCTTACATTCTGGTTTTTGGAAATTCCCCTGAACTATAAGAATTATCCCAGACTTGGACCTGTTGAGATCAGTGAACGGTCCCTGTCTTTATTTGGGGACAGGGTCTTCTCATGAGGTCCTCTAATGAGGGACAGGTTCTTTATTCTTCAGGATAGTCCTTGTTTTTTGGTGGTACTTTAACTTGATCAGCTGATGGATTCAGAGTTTTAGACGTCTCATGGTGAACTCAGCGGTGGATGATCTTCTCTTTGACGTTTAGAGGCCCTACTCTTCTACTCTTGCTCAATCCCAGAAGACTCCTGATGCCCAGACCTCCACCTCAGCGTGTGGAAAACAATCCGCCCTCCTCAGTCTCTGCTTTCAACACATCAGTCCATCCAACAAACACTGTCTCCATCCACTTATCTCCACCTCAGCTGCTCTCAGCCGACAGATCTGCCATCTGACACCCTGATCCTCCTGTCCTCCTGCAGAGGTCTAAAAATAACCTTATTAAAGCTCTGGAGGTCTACAGGAACAACACAGCAGCAGCCAGCTGGAGCTGGGTCAGCTCCACCACATCCTCAACGTCTACGAAAAGGTTGTGTCCTCCGATCGTAGCTGATCGTAACCATGAATTAAAACACCACCACAAAATAAAACATCCGGCTTCTTTTCAAAATAAAACACTCCGTGTTTCAGGAGGATCGTATTTCACACCATGCAAACGGGCGGAGACGAACAAGTGAAAGGTTTTTAGACGTCATTTCACCCCGATGACACCATGGATGAGGAGATGCTGATTCTAGAAGTCTAGAAGTAGATTTCCTCCTCTGGAAGGACACAATCTACTGCTTATATGTCTATGTGTCTGTCTTTAGAGAGACAACTCGTTATCGTGAGATTGAACGTGAATCACCAACAGATCCAGTAGGAGTTGGCGCACAGCAAAAATCGCTGCCGTTCCGTTCCGGTCTCGGTGAAAATCCCAGTCCTGGTCTTTGTCCTGATTTTACCCTTTTGTTTCTTTCAGCTCCGTGACGCCTTCAAGGACGTGAAGAAGCGCTTCAGTAACCTGAAGTTTAACTACATGAAGAGGAACGACAGGACCAGGAACATGAAGGCCGTCAGGAACCAGCTGCAGCAGGTGGAGGTGTTCGAGGAGAAGTTACAGGTAGGTCCAGGCTTCAGCTCCACGTCACCATCAACCCCGTTAAAAGAAGACCAGGACTCTGACTCTTGGTGGTCTGGAGATCTTAGGAGATGGTTTGTGTTCGGTTCACTTCTCAGATCTTCTCTGTCTGCTCCTGCAGGCTCTCAGGAAACGTCTTCAGAGTGTGACCGCACGGTTGGGGTCAGAGGTCAAAGATGGGGGCGTGGCTCGGGAGGCGGAGGACGCCATCAACGAGCTGCAGAGACAGATGGGAGAGTTTGAGCGAGGAGTCAGTGAACACCAGAGAACATTGGAAATGACCTGCAGACTTCAGCAGGCCATGGAGGAGGTGATCCACCCCCTTCAGCTCAACCATCAAAACCTGGTCTGAAGTCCAGCAGGGAGGACCGCTAACATCTCCTCTGTTCAACAGTATCAGTTCTGGTGTGAGGAGGCCAGCGCCACCATCGCTCGGGTGGGGAAGTTCTCCTCGCAGTGTCGCAGCACGGAGGCCGTCGCCGTCCTCCACCAGCAGTTTGAGAAGTTCGTGTGGCCCACGGTTCCTCAGCAGGAGGAGAGGATCAGTCAGATCAGCGAGCTGGCGGTCAGACTCCACGGTGAGAGACGAGGCGGAGATACAGACTGAGCTGATCGTTTTGATCGTTGATTCAACGTCTGAGGGATTTATTTTCATCACTGATCCATCTCTCCGGGTTTTAGTTTTTTAGCTCCTGCTCGCTCGTATCGTTCCAGTTAAATTCAGATATAATGCAGATAAATCCTTCAGATCATTACAAATGGGGCCCAGTCAAGGTGAAAGTCAAAAGCATTGGTGCTACTGTAGATGCCAACAGACTACCAGCAAACACAATGTTTGCAGGACTTCTACAACGAGGATAAAGTGACATAGTCCAGGACCCGAGGGAGGACAGTTTAGCGATGGCGCTACAACACGCTACAGCAGGTCCGTTTGACAAGAAACACTTCTGTTACAGACACTTGTCTTACTTTGTTAAAGCGGTTTACCTGTCCAGCAGAAAGGTTACAGGGTCACCAAGATCCCCAAGTGTCCCCCATCATTTATGTTGACCCGGCTTTTTAGCTCTTGTCCGGTCTACCTCCGTTTTAAGCGCCCGTTATTCCTCCAGAGTCTCCGGTATTTACTCTGTTTTCTTGCTTGTGTCGGCAGTCGTGGCCAAAGGAGGATTCAGACAATTTTCCGAACTTTCTGGTTGGTTTCTACTGTCCGATATATCCGTTAAAAAAGATGCTTCTTTAACGGATTCCTGCCTACAACACCTCTAATGACACACGTTGACAGATATTAGTCACTGATTTTATATTCGTTAAAACAATCAGATCATAACAATTAAACAATATATTAACATGTGTGTGTGTGTGTGTGTGTGTGTGTGTGTGTGTGTGTGTGTGTGTGTGTGTGTTTCAGGGGCGGAGGAGGGGCAGCGGTACATCGAGAGGACGGTCAGTAAACACTCAGAGATGGTGGAGTCCATCAGAGAGCTGAGTGACGGACTGATGCAGCTGGAGGCCAAACTGAAGGTGGAGCAGAAACAGGAGTTCATGAGGAACCACAGTCTTCATCTTTGGCTGCTTCATCATTATTGATTATCATTGATTATTATTGATTATGATGATTTTAAAATGAGGCACACGAATCTCTCTTCAGAATCCAAAAATACGTAATCTGATTGTTGATGTTTCCAGATGGAGAAGCTCGGTCAGCAGCAGGAAGAGGAAAAGAAAGAGAGAGAGACGGAGAGAAGGAGAGAGGATGAGATGGAGGAAAAAGAGAAGAAGGGAAACAGGAAGTGGAAGAAGAAAGAAACGACGGATCAGAGCAGGATCACTCAGGAGACGACAGAAATGGTAAAGAGAGGATTTCCTCCTGAGTCCGAACATGAACCTGACCTCATGATGTTAAAGCTCCTCTGTGTTTCCAGTACGAGCTGAAGGAGACGGGACACACCCCTGAACTGACCGCTGAGCATGATGGGAAGGATGTTCCTGTGAAGAGGCAGACAGCAGCCAATAGGAGGCCTCCGTCCCAGAGGAGCAGCAGTCAGGAAGCAGACACTCGGACAGTCATCCCAGAGAGCAGGTCCAGTAAAGCGGGACGTGGTCTTCAGACCTCAGTATCTTCATTAGTGCAGCAGTCCTGATACTCTCTGTGTTGACTCTTTCAGCGCCGAGCTGCAGCCACACAGAGGGAGCTCCTCCTCCTCCTCCTCCTCCTACTGCTCCACACACACCTTCAGTCTCTCCTGTTCCGCTATGGAGGCCAACCGAAGAATCCACGCCATCCACAGCCAATCAAAACCTGAAGAGCTTCAGGCCACGCCTCCTCTCTCTGGGATCTGTCCATCATCGTTTCCTGACGTCCAGAGGGAGTTTCAGAGCAAAGACCCCCCCAAAACCAGTCAGCAGGTGGTCTCTGCTCCTCTCTGCCAGGTCAGTCTGCCAAGTCTGGGTCCTCATATGCTGTCGTTGTTTCGTTTATTCGTTTATTTTTTTAATTTTCTTTTTTTATTGGTTTCACAAACGTGCGTACTCGATGTCAGACCTGTGGTGAGATCTGGTCGTATCGTTCGCTCATGTTCAAGTTGATAAATAAGGGCCAACGTCTTTACTGCACAAAGTCTGAGACACCAAATCAACCCGGTTTTTAAAAGTCTCTGTTTTCAGTCGAGATGAGAAAGTCAGCTTCTCCTGATTCTATATTTATCGATCATTACCTCGAACCATCTGTTCATCTGTTTTTAGACACTTTCTACTGATGGACTTTTTAGTCCCACCAACATGATTGTAAATCTGTGTTTTTCTCCTGACCTTCTTCTCTCTTCGTTCTCTTTTCACAAATATAAAACTTCAAATCTAAGTGGAAGTTTTATCTCCTGACAGTAAGGTATAAAACCAGAACATCCTCACAATTAAAACCATAATCGGCCTTATTCTCTCCACATCGTCTCCAACGTCGTGTCTCCAGATTTCTGAATATCTGACAATATTCTTCCAACCATGTTTTCTCCATCAGAGGGCGCTGTTGTCCATATGATGTCATTTTAAGTGTTAATTAAAAGTTTACGTCCTCAGTCCTAACTGTGAGTTCTCCTGGTCTGACCCTGATCCGTGTGTCAGGATGGATCCGGTCTGTCAGAGTCCGAGCTCCAGTTTCAGGAGGAGATGACGGACGATTCTCTCTCCAACGACGAATACGAGTGTGCCTCACCTGACGACATCTCCCTCCCACCGCTGGCAGAGACACCTGAGTCCATCCTGGTCCAATCAGATGTCGAGGAGAGCGTCTGTTTTAGTTCCCACAGTGTCCACATCAGCCACTCCAGCCATCAGAACCGATTACAGTCGGACCGCGCTGGGAACAGCTCTGCTGGTCCAGTACAACAACGGACGGAGTCTGGTGGCCCAAGTCTTCAGAGCAGGACCAGGTCTGTGTTCGGACAAATCCCTGAGCCCACATAGAAAAACCAGTTCGGTTCTTTTAGATTCAGGGTCGGCAAACGAAGAACCGACCCGGTATTCTTTTTACAGCATTTTTAAAAGGAAACTGTAAATGTTTGAGGTTCGAGCCCGACTTTGATTAAAGACGATCAAACCACAGCAATGACGTTGGCGACACAGCCCTCGTCTTTAATGGACTAAACTCACCGCCCCGGGTCACAACCGATCTCTACCTTCAGCGGAGGGGGGCTGCGACTTTTGATGTTGTCAAATGTTTTAGTGGATGTTCTTCTAACTGAGATACAGTTGAGGTGATGAGTTAGTGTTAGCCTGCTAGTGTTAGCCTTGTCGCTACCTGATCCATCACAGAAACCTGATTTGTACTGAGCATGTGCGAAACGTACGTCACTTCCTCTACTCGCCATCTTTGCGGCAGCTCAGTAATTCAGTAAACTCAGTAAATCTTTCTGTTTGGGTTACAGGTTCAGATCTGAGTCCAGTTCCTTTGTCCACGGTCAGCTGACAGTTCCTGCTTCAAGTCCTCTCACCAGCGTCCCGGTGACCAGAGAGACCAACATCCCCCCAAGTACTGAGTGTTCAGGGGGGGACCAGGAACCAAGTTTGTCCCCGAAATCTAATCCAGTCCACAAGACCAGCGCCCAAGATTCTGGTTCCAGCACAGACAGTAAAGTTCCTGAGGAAAGTCCTCACTTTAAGGATCCTGAACCTGGTCTTCAAAAACCAAAGACCGCTCCACAAGACCCTGGACTCCTCAAACGATGTTCTCCTCAGTATCAGAGAAGAACCGCCATCACCAAAGAGAGAAGGTCCCCCCAGACTGTCCCCGACTCTGGGAGGGGCTGCCATCAGGGTGAGGTTTCGGTCCAAACAGACCCGGTCTACAGACCACAAAGGGGGGATCAGAACAGCACCAGGAAGAGTAAAACCAGCAGTCCTAGTACCTGGTCCCAAGCCTGCAGTGACCCTTCTGCAGCCCAAGAAGGACCTTTGTCCAAGAGCAAGAAGATCTCAAAGATGCACCGGGTCCTTCAGGTCAGCGGGGGCGCTGAGAGTCCCGGCCTTGGAGGTTCTGATCCAGCAGACATCAGTGAAACATGCCTCCAAACAAGTACAACCCTGACCCGGGACCGCAAACTCCCACAGTCGGACCAGGATTCAAGGAGCGGTCTGGATTCCCCTGAAACCAGCGGGAAAACATCTTCAGTCTCCAGCAGCCGAACCACAAGAACCGCAGTGATCCAACAAACTGTTCACAGTCCGGCCTTAACCCCAGAGGATCCAGAAACCAGCAGCAGGACCAGGTCCCTCTCTCAGGGGGGTGGAGGTCTACCTGAGGGGCCAAACATGAACACGTCCAGCAGAACCATCACAAGTTCTCGTACATTCAGCAGCAAGCAGGGCCTTCAGACAGTCTCCTCCCTTAGAGGGTCCACCTGTACTCAGCCCAGTCTGCATGACTCTGGCCTAACCCCCCCCAGCAGCCGCCCCGCCCGGCCCGAAGCTCAGACCCCAGCTTTGGCACAGCAGGCTAATCCGCATGTACCCCCACTTCCCTCTCCACCTCATCTACTAACTTCAGATCCAGATCCAAACATTTGTCAGCCCACAGCCGTCCGCGAGGAGATCCAGCTAACTCCTCAGATCCAGGGGCCTCCCCTTCCTGCTCCTCCTCCTCCTCATCCCCAGGTCCAGGCAGAGTCTCTTCCCCAGGGGAAAGCCTCTAAAACGGGCCCTCCCTGCTTTACCAGGCCTCTGTCTAGAGCTACCCTCATGGAGGGCTCTCCAGTGACGCTAGAGGTGGAGGTGGCGGGAGACCCAGAGCCCGCACTCACCTGGTGGGTAGCATATAACCAGCTCCACAATGTCACACACCATGAATGAAACAGACGCTCAGTTTGCTTTAGAGCACTAGTTCTCAGCTGGTCCTTCAGTCGCGACCCACTTTAATAAAATTCAAACCAAGAAACTTTATTTCTTATTAAAAAAAACCTCTAAAGACTTTAATTTAAATAAACCGTTTTTATTGAGTGAAGTGCGTTTCAGAGCGCATGAACTGAAGACGACAACTTCTGAAGTTCCGTATACAGGAAATATCCCCTAAACATTCAAATATCTCCATGTGTTTTTTCAGGTCCTTAAAATGATCATTACTCCTTTGTTTTCATTCTAGACCAGGAACACTGGCGCCTGATTCGTGTTTGACCATGTGATATTCTAATTAGCATATTTGTTTGATAGAGAAGTGATTACAAGTAAAACTAGTATGTAAATTAGTGCATATTTAATTAGATATGACCTCATTTTCATGGGGGAGTCTGAAGTTTCATGGTGATATCTGTTAGTTAAAAATTTTACCCTATTCACCTGGGATCTTGAAAATGACGCCTGTCTCGTGGTCAAACTTTGGTCAACTTTGAGTTTGTTGTTAAGGAAATCTAATCCTATAAAAAACAGCTGAGAGACCTTTGTTTAGGGTTAGGTGTTTGTGTTTTTCGTCTAAAGTGTGAGGTTGAGATGGGAGGATCCTGGAGCTCAGAGAGGAGAGGAGCTCAGCGCCTCTGTTTCTGCTCCTGTGTGCTTCCAGCTGTTAACTGTAATGATCTGAGCTGCAGTGAGTTTTAATATCAGAGTTTTCTACTAACACGTCATCACTCTGAGTCAGCTGTTTTTGATTAACCTCAGTGTGATCTTCTTCTTCTTCTTCTGTCTGTGTCTCAGTAACAAACACTAAACCTGTAAACTCAGAACCTCAGAGTTCAGCTCAGTTTTAGTTTGGAGGTCTGGTGAGAGACCATGAGAGTATCAGGGCTCGCTGTGAGTCTGTCTGACCTCCTGTCATCATGGTCGCTTCAGGTCTAAAGAAGAAGGAGGAGGGCTGTCAGCAGCTGATCCAGACCAGGAACCGGTCCTGTGTGTCCCTGTGAAGTCTTCAGACTCAGAAGGGGGGTTAAAGGAGGTCCAGGCTGCTGAAGTCCACGAGTCCCTGCAGACAGCTGGAAACAGCAGCAGCAGCAGCGGCGGTGATGGTGATTGGCTGGTGACTGAAGTGTTTCACATCATCAGTGCGGACTGGCACACCTGGTTCGGGACTCTGTGTTTCCTGCTCTGGCTGCTCTACCTGATCCTTCTCTGAGTCCTCACATGGAAGTTCAAGGTGTGTTCAGACCCAGCTGGAGCAGCTCTGAAGTGTGAGGAACTCTGGATGATCATAACTTTAAAAACCTTCTTATCATCCTGTCACTGAATGAAGAGGTCAGTCTGCAGTAAAAGTCAATGTCAGCTTTATTTATATAACACATTTAAAAACAGATAAACATAGAAAGTAAATGAAAGACCCAATAAAAGGAGCTAAAGTGAACAGGTGTGTCTTCAGAAGGGTTTTAACGCAGTCAGGGGGACAGCCACGACAGAAAATCCTCGATCTGGATTTGAAAAAGGATCGAGGAACGTCTAAAACCACCTGAAGTCAGGAGAGAGTCAAGTTAAGAGAGTGAATACTAGGATTAATAAGATCTGATATTTAGCTCTGAAACATGAATTAAATCTGGAGACAGGTGAGAAATTCACTGACCGTAAAAACATAAATGTTTGTTTGAATGCTGGACTCTGGATTTGTATAAAGAGGCTGAAATAAAGGGTCAATAACTTGGTCCATCTCTGCGTGTCTCTGTTTCCTCTGCAGTCACTCTGTTGTTGAAGATGTTGGTGTTATATCAATGATCTGTCAGTGAAAGTGATCGATCAATGATTTTCGACTTCTCAGGTACAGGTGGCTCATTTCACTCCAAAAAGAAAATTATATCAAGTTAGGAGATAAAAGAATAAAAAAGAAAGAGTAAATCATATCCTAACCGGAACTATGACACAGTCAGTCCAAATATCAACATTTCTGAGTGACGTCTGACGGCTGAAAGTCAAATATCTGAGGGTGAAACACGACGCATTTATTCACAGTATCAATAATAAACAATATTTGAGTTTCTCTCAGACTTCCATGGTTTGTTTTTTTTTCTCCATGTTTCTCTGACTTTGTATCTATATTAAAACAAAAACACTAAACACATGAATTTATTGCAGGAAAATAACGTTTGAAAAAAGAAAATTAGTGATTTTCCTTTTAAACTGTTTGTACTTCTTTCTTTAGAAGTCAGTTAATCCAGTTCTGTTCATGCAGTCAGTTTTATCACAGCAGCACTTGGTGGACGGTGGAGGAACTGCAGCTCTGATCAATCCTGATCATTTTAATTTTTATTATTTTAAATGAAGCGCCATTTCTGACTCCTTACAATACCAACAACACCGACTACAACAGGGATTATATATATAAAATGAAAGTCTTAAATATTGGTATACTGAACGATAGATTTCTAATAATGATCTGTTTCATTTTAACAGAATTATAATTGTTATTGATTAAATATATCATTATTCATTCAAGTAACCCTGTTGCTTTAATAAAGGCTTCATAGGATTGACTGAAATCTACGGGCAATATTTGATCTTCATGGTTGTTTTGTTGAGAAAGAAGAAGGAATTTATTTAAAATGTCAACGTTTTTTTGCTTTAATGGCTCTTCTGATTTTAACACATTTGAAACTCATTTTATGCTCGTTTTGAAAGTGTTTTTCTCTGAAATAAAAGGACTTAGGGTTGTGTAATGGTATCTTTTATTTTCATTTAAATAGACAACAAATTATAAATAAGTCACTGTAGTTTTAATTTCATTGCATTTACATCAAACTGGCTTAGATAAAAGTAGGCAGGGCTGTGTTAGACCGAGAACCACCACTGCTGCAAATCAAATAGAGTGCAAAAAAAGAAACCACAACGGAAGTTACCAATGCAAAAAGATGGGTAAATATTAAATAAAAGGATGCAAATAAAAAAAGCCACAAAGGAACTGAAGCTAACTCTACACCGACATCCTTCGGTTCAACCTCATATAGACTCAGGTGCTGCATGGTATAACCACATGACTCATTAAAAAGTTTACAAAGTGAAATTAAAAAATAACCTTTCCATTTACTTCTTTGCTCGTCTTCTCGCCGTCGTCTTCTGTGCCTAGATCGTAAAACACCGGTGAATCATCATCATTGGTCCCCAGCAGCTCACTTCTGTTGAGACTTTTTTTATTTGCATCCTTTTATTTTCGCAGTGTAACTTTTTTTTTTTAATAAGCAGCGGACTTCGGTTTCTTTTTTTGCATCAGTAACTTTTGTTGTGACTGACTTTTGTTGTATTGTTTTTTTTATTTGCAGCAGTCTCGGTTCTCGACCTCTGTAGTTTTCAGAATATTAAAAGTTTAAGATTAAAGATCCAGATTCAGTAATGACCAGCAGTGTTTAAATGTGGCTGACAAACAGAAAATACAGGTGGATGGTTGAAATATTTTCTCAGGACTTGATTAAAGTCTTTAAAAGGCTACAAAAAGAAAACATTTAAATGTCAAACATATCTGTTATAGATGACATTTGTCAAACACTGGCCTCCTTAAAGCTCCCTCATTGTTTAATTATAGTTTCCCCTGTAGTAAATCTGTTTTGGTAAAAACAAGCTGTATACTTAAACTAACCAGGAACTTGTAAGACTAAAAAATGTATTAATAACTAGAAAAAAAAAAAAAAAAAAAAACACGTCCTAATTTACCGCGAATTCTTCCTCCGGTCTTTCTTTCCCTGCGGACGTTACTCTGTAAATCGGTCAGACATCTTCTGCAGGCAAACCACAGGGTGAGTAAAAATGATAGTTTGAAGCGTGTTTTCCACTGATTTTCTTCTTTTTTTTGTTTGTTTCCCCCGATTATATCGTTGTCTGCTTCATATTTGTCACAATAAACACGTTTATCTGCCACAAACTGACTTTTAGATCCAATGTTTCTCCGGTTTGTGCTCGGTGCTTCGTATGAATCCCTCCGCTGCTGTTTCCTTTTCGATTTAGTTTTTAGCATTACATTATGATTAATTACATTCAAAATCTGATAAACAGAAATGTTGTACTTAAGTTGTCCTGTTTGGTTGATACGGAGGAAATAATGTGGCCAAATAATCTCGGAGTTTTGTATCAGTATGTTATTGACCAGGCTAAATAGGTTAGCAAAAGTGTTAGCGGTGTTTCAGTAAAAGAAGTGACCGTGTTAACCGATGACCCTCAGCCGGATGAAACCGGTTTTCGAGCGCGTTTGAAACACGAAGAGATCCCGAAAATACATTATAGTTTGTTAATTTAACGTCAAAACATGTTTATAAAATATGTTCTAAGTTTAAAACTAAATATATACGTTTTTAATTTAATCTAACTGGAAATCTGCTGGTTAACACGGTTAAACTGAAACATTTATGAACGACAGTTAGTTAGCTTACTTATTTAAAACAGCTAAAGAGCGCATTACTAAGTACTTTATTTTTAAACTTTGTGTAGTTTAAATATCTCAGCTAAGACTGAGTATAAGAAGTTGATTTTTTCTTATTATGAAGTTCAGAATCAGAAATATTTTAATAATCCTCGGGGGGAAATGCTTTTCATTACAGTGACTCCAGTGCAAAATAAAGTAGAAAGAGGAGATAAATAATAGATAAAATAAGTAAAAGTAAAGAGATAAATAGATAAAATAAGTAAATATAAAGAGATAATATACAAGTATGTACACTATATACAACACAAAATAGTAAAATACAACTAATTCAACTAATTATCACTGCAAATTCTTGTGTATTTTACTGTAATGTGGCAATACTAACCTTCTGTATGTAGTAGCTCAAGCCCAAAAGTTCCTCAAATAGTACAGTTATGCAGTATTCTCCGTTTTTAGGATCCTACAGTTTTGTGGTGAAAGTACAGCAGTATTTCAGCTTAATTTAGTGAAAGTATTAAAATAAACGTTACTTTATAAAGTTTAAAATGTATAACACATGCAGTTCATTAGTGTTTAGCTTCACCGCTATGCCATATCAAAGTCCAATTATAGGAGTAGTTTTGCACCATGTAGTTAATGTTTAATCATGTGGCAGGAATATTCTTCAAACACTGATATTTTAATATCTGAACAGTAAAGTTTGTATTTTATAGACATGTTATGAGTTTATTCCTGGTCCAGTCAGCTGTGACTGTGAGGTGATTAAACGTCAGTATTGTGGCTCCTCTCTGTGTTTCTGTCTGTGGACGAGCTGATTGTGCTCTTTGATTGACAGGGACAGCTCCATATCTGAGAGGTGATCTGATTGGCTGGTTCAGCGTCATGATACAGGCACAGAGGAAACCCCCGGTCCCACAACATGCATGCTGGGAAACCTTAGCAAGTGAGTAATGTTTACAGGAGGGCTTTCAATTAAAAATGACTGAAATGGATGTTGGGGGTTAATACCAGCGAAACTTTCCTCACACACACACTCACATTCACTCTTGAATTTCATCTGTCTCTGTGTTCATGAATTTGGTCTTTAGATGGAGCAGATAGTTTGGGAAATGTTCTCAGTGAATCTCTTCTCACGGTTATGAGGTTTTGGTCTGTTTTCTAGTCTGTTATACTTCATTAAGAGTGAAACCAACGAGCACCAGTTTAGTTATTAACATGAAATGACTGAGTCTTCATTCTGATCACAAGCGTCTCCACTCTTACTGAAATCATAACTGTGCAGATAGTTTTTTTAACCATTTGAAAATATTAAATCATAAAGAAAAGTGACGAGGTGATAATCATGATCCTGTCATCCTTGGATTGGACATGTCTGCAACACTATAGAACTTTACATAGATGCCGTTTTCTGCTAATCTATTTCAAACAGCTCTACGTTTCCTTATTCTGCTCTGTAATCAGAACGAAGCCGACAGCAGAAGTATTTTACTGAACACGACATCTGTTTTATCAGTGTGATCTGCTCAGTCTCAGAAACACTCGGGGGTTATCGGCTGAAAGCTGACGCTCTCACAGACTGAGTGGGTTTTAATCAATCGATCAGTCAGTCTTTATTTATATACCACTTTTCATACAAAAACGATGTAGCACAAAGTGTTTTACAGAGGAGTAAAAGAAACAAAGAAAACCCTAATCTACCCCAGCTCAACCCCTCATTCCCACCCCCCAATCTAAGAACAACAGAAACGTGTGTCAAAATACATGAACTTAAAAAGTTTTTGATTTCATAGAAACAGGAATTTCCACACTGAGGAAAAGCTGTTTTAAAATTCAAGATAAGGAAACACTGGAGGTTTAAAATCTAAAAACAAAGTAACCTAAAATGAAATGTAAGAAATAGTCAATAAAATGAAATTAAAACAACGGTAAAAAACACTTAAATAAGAGCAACAGAATAAAAGAGGATCCTGTCATTAAAACTAGAAGAGATAAATGTTAAAACACTTAAAAGAGTTAAGGATATAAAATTTAGTTAAAAGACTAAAAAGCTTTGTTTTCAGTCCTCAGGTCTTCAGGTCAGCTGTTCCATAGACAGGGTCGTAGTAATAAAAAGATGTCTCACCGTATGTCTTAGTTTTAACTTTAATGTTAAATTCTTAAAAAAATGATTGAAATTCTTTTCAAATTCTTTAATGAGTTTTATGTCAAATGTTTTTTTTGTCTGTGGATCCCAGCAGGTGAACTGTGTGTCTTCACCTGTCAGTGTTAGTTTCAGCGTGGCGTCTGAATTTAATCTG